CATATATATTATCATGTGTTTCCCCATGTATTGTATATGTATGTATATACATATACAGCGCTGGGCGGGGAGCTCTCCTCCTCTGATTCTCCTCCCATTCGGCTGAGAGCTGCGTGCGCATTCAGCCGGTCACATAGGAAAGCATTTACAATGCTTTCCTTTGGACGCTTGTGTACTCTCACTGTGATTTTCACAGTGAGAATCACGCAGGCGCCTCTAGCGGCTGTCAATGAGACAGCCGCTAGAGGAATTGGAGGAAGGATTAACCCATTTGTAAACATAGCAGTTTCTCTGAAACTGCTATGTTTAGAAAAAATGGGTTAATCCTAGCTGGACCTGGCACCCAGACCACTTCATTAAGCTCAAGTGGTCTGGGTGCCTAGAGTGGTCCTTTAAGAGGGGATGACATAGTGAGAGACTGTGTGGAGGAGGGTGGCAGACTGTGGGGGGGGGTGGGGGTGACAGACTGTGGAGGGGGTGACAGACTGTGGAGGGTGATAGTGTGTGGAGGGGGGTGACAGAGTGTGTGTGGGGTGACAGAGTTTGGAGGGGGGTGACAGACTCTGGGTGGGGGTGGCAGAGTGTGTGTGGGGATGACAGACTGTGGAGGGGGTGACAGAGTGTGTGGAGGGGTGGATGACAGACTGTGAAGGAGATGACATAGAGTGTGTGGGAGTTGTATTTTCAGACAAACCTTTTTTTATTTCTGAAACGATTCCCTAGTGGTCTGGTGGTCTCCCTCTATCCCTGGTGGTCCGGTGGGCTGGCACTTCGGTCTGCAGCTTCTCCGGGTGCAGAGCTCCAGACCATGTCGGTAAGTGTCTCGTGATCTCCAGTTTCAGAGTGTTGCTGTGGGAACCTGGGGCTCTGATTGGCTGGAGATCGCGAGACTGTGCTGGGCACTCTCTCGGGAAGACTATGCGGAGGGTCCTCGCAAGTGGAGGCATAATGGGCAAGACACCGGGCCAACTCCTGTGTCAGACCAAGAACCTGACACTTCAGTCTGCCCTATGGCGAATTAGGCAGCCGTGAGGCCCCAGTCAGCGCGAGGCCTTAGACGGCCACGTAAATCACCTAATTAGAGAGCCGTCTCTGTATGTGTATATATATAGATATATATATTAAGATAGATTCAATCATATGTCTAGCTTTGTGATTTTATATATGTTGATAGGATTGTATATGTGTGTGTGTAACAGCTGAAGATGAGCTATTAAACGGATACTATTGGTACCCAGGCCACGTCATCTCATTTAAGTGGTCTGGTTGCACTGTCCCTGTCCCCCTAAGTCCTGCAATGCAAAACATGTGCATTAGGTACCCCCATCAACTGACATTAGAGGAGGTGGAATGCGACCAAGCGCCAAGGGGCATCAGAGCTGGAATTGAGTAAATGAAAAAAGGGTTATTTAACCCTTTACAATTAATAGTTAATGGAATACTGAAAATAGAGAATAACTAATCACTGAAGTAAAAAAGTAACACAGCAAACGACATATAACACAACAAACATAGCATACTAAATATGTCTGATTTAAACATGTGTAAAGAAATGTATATACTATCTATAAAGGCATATCTTTTCCAAATGGATCTGTTTTGCTTGTTGTTAATTCACAATCGGTCTTGAGAATGTGTGAGTAAATGGATCTGTTTTGCTTGTTGTTAATTCACAATCGGTCTTGAGAATGTGTGAGTAACTGTGATGTTTGAAATTAAGCTTGGTTTTATATTGATAATGATTTCTAACTTTAGCAGCGTTACCATCAGAATTGTTTTGGATTGTGATCGTATTGAAAACAACCACCCAACATTGTCCAAAAGTCATAAACATTTAGTTTAGTCAAAAACCACTCGGTTTTCAAATGAGACAGCCAAGAAGATTTTACAGAGACATTTTAATCATTTCAGTGTAGCATTATCATCATCTATTTTTTAACCAAAATAAGAATTATTTTCTGTATTTCTACCCATTGAATTTCTGCTCTGATTTTTGTAGTGCAAGTATAAGAAACAATCTCCAGATAAAAAAGACCTATACTTTTCAAATTTAGACTTGAATGTTTTTTTGTGCAGTTATGAGACATTTGTCCATTTTGTATTTGTCCATTTTGCTGCAGACATTTGTCCATTTTGTATTTTAAATTGTGTAAGATAGATTTGAAGGGCCTATAATTCATTTTAGGAATTTTAGGCACTTACAAATACAAATGTAAACAACCAAAAGTAGTTCAACTATGCAGTATTTTAGCCTTTTTTATGTGGCAAATTCATTGCTAATTTCTGCCAAATTTAGTGATAAGATTTTATTTTAGTTGAACCTTTACTAGCATGTCATGGACTGCTGCAAAACACACAATTTGCTTTCTTTCACTACTGATTATATTTTATCAGCCTCCCCATTGACATTTTTGTGTTTTGTAGTGTTACAACTTGGAATTAAATATTATTTTATTATTGTCTAAACAGTATACGTAAGACTATGAAGGTGACACAAAAGTTAATTAAAGCAAACCCTGACATTTGTTGATAGCATAATTATTCAGCCCTGTTGCTAATGAAACCCCAGAATAAGCTCTGGTGAACCATTTGACATCAGCAGTAACAAAATTAATTGACTGGAGTCCAACTGTGTCCTTCTCATGTCAGATGATTTGTTTATTTTCTTGTAGGCCCCTAGAGTATGTAAGAGAGCCTGTTGCCTCAAATTTAGTTATTGGTTTCACAGAATGACATTTAGATCCAGCATTTTCCTACAGTCGAGATGACATGCCTCCTTCTCAAACCTTTGGTTAACAGTGGGCGTCAATCTTAACCTTATTTTCAGGAAAATCAGTTCCTTATAAATTATACCATTCTATCAGTAGAATCATCTGGAGGAGGAATGAGAGGCATAGAGGTGAGACGAGGACAGATTTATGAATAATTATGCAAAATTACTTCAAAAGGCACAGCGAGGCATGAATTCGGGATTGGAGTTTGTAGGAGCTCCATTGAACAAAATGGTCTATAAAATGCTCTAATATCTTTAAAACTATTACACAGCTTGAAAACGAAAATATAAAGAGCATGAATTGTTTGAAGGCGAATTCAATGAAATATATGTATCACATGAGAGAAACTCATTTTGAACCCCATTGTTCTATTTGAAAAAGATGTTCATGTCTCCTGTTTGTGAAATGTACTATGTTCTGTAACGTTCCAGGTAACTGTGGAGAAGGTCCCTGATGAAGGTCAGATGAAATCACTGCTAACAAAATATTCCGCAGACCCTCAGTATCAGCAGCTCTTCATCAATCTGGTAAGGACAGAGCCAAATAGAAAAACAAACATTTCCTCTGTGAACAATGTGTTTGTTATATTTAAATCATTTGTTTATGATGGCTGTGTCAGCCGCACTGATTTACATAAACATTGCCAATCCTGAGACTTTACATTTTCAACAAAAGTAGCAGAGTACAAACAGAATTCCTGACTTTTAATTCATATTGTATAAACATAACAGATGTTGATAAAATGAGCCAGCAAGAAAATACAACAAAGAAGGCTATATAAAGAGCATTTTTTGATTAAAATGCATTCCAGATTGACACAATGATACCAGGTTAATAGAATATATATAATTTTCATGTCATTTTTGGCTGCCATAGAATGGTTAAACAAATATGAAATGGAATACGAGATACATTCGGCAAATCTACAGCATGCTCCGTAGTAACCTTTATACCCTCAATGAGATCCTCTGCAATGTTTCAAAATACCATGCCACATAAAATCAAAGGGATGCAATATAATGATCATGGTATTTGCGGAAAGATTGACCTTAGCTATAGACTAATAATAAGCATGATTTAACTGAGGCTTGTAAAACAAAAAAAAAATCAAATCTTGGCAAATTCACATAAGCTCAAGCAGCATATGTATAATGTAGAAATACCTGCACATATTATAGAGGAGATTGTTGATTACTACTGAAAAGTTAATCTTTTAAAAAGAAATAGTTAGTGTAAGTTGCAGCAGCCACAGAGGTCTTGTTTGAAGTAATGGAGGCTGGTCCTCAAAGGCAGGTGGGACAGCATTCCCAGGCTGAGCAATTAATCATGTCAAGATTTTGGGGTATTTTAAAAGTAAAAGCCTGTTCTCTGAGTATAGCTCCCTCAGACATACGGGGTTATCCATTAAACACTGTATTTTGTGCGGATAGACAAAATCCGGTGTAATTGCCCAATGTCTGATCGCATGAACAATTCTCATATTTAGTAAAGCCTAAAATGGCTGGAATCTGGTCTCCCCAAGCAAAACTGTATAGGATTCAGATGTGAAAGCTCTAATCGACTGTAGCCCCTCTTAAATTTCTTCACTGATTCATAGAGATGTCCCTTCTTTTTCTCTCCACTCTTCCGGTGACCTTCTCCTGTCCGCTGCTCGCATCCTTACTGCTAACTTGCGCTTGCAGGACTTATCGCGGATGGCTCCCTTACTTTAAAACAACCTGTCTACCCCCAATAGTCTCCAATTGTTTAAAAAGTCCCTCAAAACAGCCTCCATTACATCTGTTATCTATACCTATCCATATCTATCTCTCACTCTCCTAAAGTCCTAAAGAGCCACATTCCACTCTCTCCTCCTGTTATGCTACTTTTCCACCTTGTTTGGTGGCTGTCACTCTTGCTGCAATGTTGTGTATTTGTAAACCACGTCCCGTAGACCAGGGGTTCCCAATTAATTTTTACAGTGGAACCCTTTGACATAGTGTATCAACCCCCCGCCCCGCCCCGCCCCGCCCCGTAAAAAATAAAATAAAAATTGCGCCATTACATAAACCTTTTTTTTTGTATGTGCCGGTGTGTGTGACACACAGATACACACACACACACACACTGACACACAGATACACACACCTTGTCTATCTGTGTGTGTGTGTGTATGTATGTATCTATGTGTCAAGGTGTGTGTATCTGTGTGTCAAAGTGTGTGTATCTGTGTTTGTGTGTGCCGGTGTGTGTCTGTGTATCAAGGTGTGTGTATCTGTGTTTGTATGTGCCAGTGTGTGTATCTGTGTGTTAGTGTGTATAAATCTGATACACAGATACACACACTGGCACATACTGGTACACAGATACACACACACCTTGACACACAGTATGTATCTGTGTGTGTGTGTGTGTGTTTTTGTATCTGTGTGCCAGTGTGTGTATCTGTGTGTCAGTGTGTATCTGTGTGTGTGTATGTATCTGACACACAGATACACGGACTGGCACATAGTGGCACACAGGCACACACCTTGACACACAGATTCAGACACTCAGATGCACACAGTGACACATACACAGATCTTGACTCACAAATACACACACACTCCAATACGCACAGTGACATATACACACACTTGTACCCACAGATACACATACTGGCACATACACACACCCAGATACACACATTGACACATACACACAGTGTCATATACACACACTGACACACAGTCAGATACACAGACACTGACATACACATACACACACACACACACACACACTCATAGGCACATACATACAAACACACTGATGTACACTGGGACATACACACAGATACACACATTGGCACATGCACGCAAACACGCACACACACACACACACACACACATACACTATATGACATACATCAGAGCCACCCTCCTGTTAACTTACCTTGTGTGTCCAGGAGGGTGGCTTGCTTGTGGTACTGGTGATGTTGGCTAAGGCTGATGGGAGTGAGCTGCTGCGTTCTCACTCCAGCCTCTCCTCTGCCATCTATGCTGCTCACTCTCTGGGCGGCCACTTAAGCCAGCCATTACTACATTCATAATATTGTAAAGCGCTGCAGAATTAGTTGGCACTATATAAATACCAATGATAATAATATAGATTTGGAGTAAATTTAGAGTTGGAGTAAAAACTGGTGGGGCACTTACCCTCAAGCCTCCACTGGCAAATTCTACAAGATATCCATGAATTTCCACAAAAAAAGCCTTTCCTCTCCACTTACTCACACAGTAGGAAATGCACCATGGCTTTGATGGCTATAGAGAGAGAGAAGAGACAGAGACAGCTGTGTGAAGTTACTTAAAGGGACACACTAAACACGTAAAACACTTTAGCTTACTGAATAGTGTGCCCAATTTTATTTTACACATTTTACAAATGCAGATTTCAATAGAAATTACTAACCTTGTTACAACCCCCCTGGCTGTCAATCAGGCAACCAGTCCTGTTACTTCCTGGTTTGGTTAGCTCTTTGGAGATAAATTCAGGAGTCAGGCAATTGTTCAACACCTGCCTTACAAATACTTGGGAAGTCGGTGCTTGGATAGCCCAGGAAGTATGGACTGGGGAAGAATGGGAGGGCTTGCAAAGGCTGCAGACAAGATCTACGTTTTTTGCAAGCTGTTTTTAGATATAAACCCAATGAAAAAATGTCACTTTAGTCATCAGTTTTTCCTTTGCAGTAGTTTGTTGTAGTAAACCATGTAAAACCTGATTTCAGCTTTGTATGCATTAAATTGTGCACATGGTAAAAACAAAGTCAGCAAAATCATCACTGAAGTGAAAATCACTGCTTTGGGATACAGTATAATTGGGCCCATAGAATATTATTGTCTGGATGCAAATTGTACAGGTGGCTTTAACATTGTTTCAGCTAAACATTTTTAGAGCCACCCACAGCAAAAAGTACATCAAGCAAGGAAATGAAAATTCTAGCCCAAAGACTGTAAACATTTAATATGCTACTGGTACACCAAGAAACAAAATACAATCATTTAATATCTGGATTCAGTCCATTCATAATAGCTTAAGGTAAAAGCAAAGAACATGGCTCAGCAGTCGTTTTCAGCACCTCACAATGTGGATTACAATGTTGAAAGTATGGTTTTAATAATTCTAATTATGGTAATGCTTCTAGCATTGCGCTTGTGTATGTGGTCCATTTCCTGTCATGTTTAGTTATTACCACAAAGGAAAACAGGAATAAAGGTTTCTTCTTACACATAGAATAAAAGTTTGTCTTTTGATCCTCTCACTTGCCATGGCCAGACTTGGGGAATGTCTGGGAAAGGTAGCAATTTCCACCTGGACTTCTAGAATATAAGGGTCATGAGACTGAACCTCACAACATTCTTGCATATTAAAATAATGTGAGGTGTATTAGAATGTCTGCTGACATAGTTCTGCAGGAGTGAGGCTGCAGGCAGGATAACTGCAGGGCCTTTTCTAGCTCAGCGCTTTATGGGTACATGCATGGACCATAATTATTAGCATTCCTGATATTTTATTTTGGAAATAAATGTTGGATAGCCTAGAAGAAATTAAGGGCATGTAGGGCAGGTGTAACCATTAAGTGGCACATGTGGTTGCCTTAGGGTGCACTATCCCCGGGGGTGTAATTTTTTGAAGAGATTGGCAGGAAGAAGGTGCATTCCCTCCCATCATTCAATTCATGTAGCGTGGCCAAGCAGGAATAAGAGACACACTGGGGCTGGTGAAGGGGAAAAAGAAACACACAAAACAGTTGCGGGGGAGAAAGAGACACAGAAGGGCTGAGGAAGGGGAAAAAGACACACAAAGGTGCTATGGGAGAGTAAGAGACACACAAAAGGGATGTGGGTTAGTGAGATGCACACAAAGGTGCTGAGAAAGTGAGAATCATGCAAATGGGCTGTGGAGAAGCCTTAGACACAAGGGAGTGTACAAGGCCGGAGCGTCCTTTAGGCGACTTAGGCAGTAGAAGGTCCCTCTGCCCGGATCACCTGTAAACTATGCCCCGCCAGCGCTCCTTGTGCTGCAGCCGCCTGAGCGCAAGATTCGAGTGACCGGCAGGAGGGAAGCACACTGCGCTCCCTCCTGCCAGTCACTCAGTATAGCATGGAAGAGCGGAGCGGACTGCGGTACAGGAGCATCTGTTTCCTGTACCCGACCAGACTGACAGGAAGTGCTCACTGATAGAGGGGGGGGTGTTAAGAGAGTCCACTAAGAGACAGGGGGAGGGGAAGGGAGAGGAGAGACAATAATCCTAACCTCTACCCCTAACCCTACCATACCGCTACCCCAAACCTCTAACCCTAACCACCACAACCACTTACATATCTAGGGGTAGTGTTAAGGGTAGGGTTAGATTCCTGTCATCATTCCTGTAGTTTTCCCTCCTTCTCCTGTTTTGACACTTTTCATAAATCTTTAGCACTTTGGCACTTCAGTTCGGCACTTCAGAAATTTGGCAGTTCGGACATTCGGAAGCATCTGAATGTCCGAATTGTGGAAATTCATCCGAATTTACATTTGGAATGAAACAAATTGCACATGTCTACTGGTGTCCCTATACATTACATTCTATAAGCGCACACACACACATTATATCCTCTACAATAACACATAACACATCCCCTAAACACATCCACTCCACTCCCTGTGAGCGAACTCATGGCTAGGCCATGTAGATGGACTTATGTCCGTCCCCTGGGGGCACAGACCTTGAGCTGTGTAAGGGGGACCCCAAAAATGGAGCTGCTTCCTGTTCCCCCAGGGAGTTGATTTTTGTGAGCAAAGTTACAAACAGCCTCCAGAGAGCCTGTTCTACACCAGACCAGTGGAGCTAGACTGCAACCAGAGCCCATCATCATCCTCTTGTCCTCATCTGGTGGTAAGTAGGCAATCGAGTATAATATTAGTGATACTAATCTCTAATTTACCTCACATTAAAGGGACACTATAGTTACCAGAACCATTACAGCATAATGTAGTGGTTCAGGTGTCTATAGCCTGTCCCTGCAGGCTTTTTAATATAAACACACTGCCTATTCAGGGAAAAGATACTGTGTGCAGCACTGGCGTTAGGTCATATAGCAGATCATATGGGTGGGGCATTGGTAATGTCACATGGTGGGCAGAGCATATTGGGGGGCGGCAATTTTGCCTAGGGTGGCAAAAATGCTTCCACCGGCCCTAGGGGTGTAAGACACACAATGGGGCATGTAAGACACAAAAGAGGGGATAAGAAACACAAAAGAAATTCAATAGGGGGTTAAGAGACAGACAGGTTAAGATAGAGGAGGGGGAGGCAGCAAATGCATATTTGTCTGTGTAATCCAAAATCCTTGCAGGGTATGCTTAAACATTTGAGGAGGATTAAACAGTGCAAGCTTTACATAAAAATGATGAATTATAGCTGGAGCAGGCCAACTGAAATAAGGCAGAAATCAAAGAAGTATATCAAATCAATTACATTTGAAACTCACATTATACTTTCCAAAGGTTAGTGCATCTTCAGCTACTCTCCAATGCACTTATTGATCCCTATGCCGCCTAATGCGTAAGGAATAGGGGAAACTTTACTGCCAGATCCCTGGTTAATATCAGATCCAGGGGACACACATTTTCCTATTTATTTATTTAAACTATGTGCATGCAGTCAGCTGCATTTAGTAAGTAGGGAAATTTTAAAAATGTAGGGTATGTGGGTCAATTCAACAAATCTTTTTAAAAACTTTAAAAAAAGTCTTCAGACTTGCCCCAAACCGATCTACCTCTAATTTATTATTAAATGTATTTATTTTGTTCATGTGTGAAACTTTATCAATGACAATAGGACAGTATTATTTTATCCTTACTCTCATATATAAGAGGGTGATTAGTCTTAAACATAGGTTTCTGTGTGAAAATATTGTGTGTGATACATTCTTACCACTTAAAAAAAAAAAAAAAAGCTGCTTCGCAATGATAAAAAATAAAACCGCTTATTTGTCAGTTTAACAGTTGTATTGCACAGTGGTTGTAATAGAAGGGGAGCCCCCTGTATGAAATATTGTAACATAAGGGATAATGTATTATTTCTCAAATGGTTTTAGCTCCCCAGTATTTCTGTGAACCACAAGTGAATGCATACAATAATACAATTAATTATATTAATTTAATCGCACTAACAGTTTGGTGCTACGCATTTCATCCAAGCATAGTTTGGACTGAGGAAGTCCGAACTACGCTCAGACAAAACACATAGAGCAGATCTAATTATCGGAAATTGCATTGAATCTGCACTGGAATCCAGTCCATTTTGCCCAGTAAGAACAGAAGGAGCCTGGGGATTCAATGAATTGCAATCATCAGAGCTTTTGGATAC